GAGTTCAAAGGATCTTGGGAAAGATATTTACCACTTGCTGAGTTCGCTTACAATAATAGTTACCAATCTAGTATCAAAATGGCTCCCTTTGAAGTTCTTTATGGAAGGAGATGTCGTACGCCCTTAAATTGGTTTGAGCTTAAAGATAAAGAAGTCATCGGTCCATAGTTGATTCAGGAAGTGGAAGAAAAGGTCCAAGTAATTCAGAGTAATCTCAAAGCAGTAGTTGATAGATAGAAATCATATGCGGATCTGAAGAGGAAAGAAATAGAATATTAAATTAGAGACAAAGTGTTTGTAAAAGTATCTTCTTAGAAGAAGGTTTTGAGGTTTGGACGTAAGGGAAAGCTTAGTCCCAGGTTCATTGGACCCTATGAGATTGTTAAGAGAGTGGGACCAGTGGCATATCAATTAACTTTGCCACCTAAAATAGAGAAGATACACGATGTCTTTCATGTTTCAATGCTTCGGAAGTATAGATCGGATCCTTCTCATATCGTGACACCAGAAGAGATCGAGGTTCAACTGAACTTAACTTATGAGGAAGAACCAATTCAAATTTTAGCTCACGAGGTTAAGCAACTAAGGAACAAGACTATTCCATTGGTCAAAGTCTTGTGGAGGAATCACATGGTAGAGGAAGCAACGTGGGAACGTGAAGAGGACATGAGGAATTAATACTCCCATCTCTTTGTATAATGAAAATTCGAGGTCGAATTTTCTTAAAGGGGAGATTTGTAACATCTTCAATATCGGGTTAGTGACTAAATTGTTAAACTTTAGAATTTGGTGATTAAAGTAGAATAATTAAATAATTCAAGGACTTATATGGGAAATATTTTGTAGGATTGAATTACAGAGAAGGAGGAATAGAAGAATAAATTGGTCATTTAGTAAAGAAAATAATTAAATTATGTTATGGTTATATATTAACCCACGTAGAATGAAAGGGAGACCAAGTGAGTTTCCAGAGTTCTCCTCTTCTTCTTTCCTCATACGTGAAGGTCCCAAAACAAAGGTGAGTTTATTGTTAGTAGATAATTAGTTGAAATTCAAGTTTGGTTTTTATCATTAGGTGATACTTAAGCTTAAGGAAAACTTAATTTGTCTTAAAACAATAAGATGAAGAGAATAGAGAGGATTAAAGATGAGGGGTTCTTAAATGAAATCTTGATAGAGAGGTAGTAATTAGATTTCAAGACTAAATTTGACTTGTTATTAGTGGAATTAAGGAGTATTAAGTGTTAGAATTGGATTTAGAACATGTTGAAAATTTAGTATGATTCTTGAATTTCATGTAGAAGATAGGATTTTGAGGTGAAATATGTGATAAATGGCTATTAATGGGTTTAAGTATGTGTATGTGAGTTAATAATATGAAAGGGGATGAAACATGAAGTGTTTAAGCTAAAATTAAGTAATTTTCAGGCTTAAAAAGTGATTTCTGGGCTAGGGGTATCGGTACCTATTCATTAGGTACCGATACTTCAAGAGTAAAAATTAAGAAATGCATTCATGAGGTATCGATACCTGAAGAACAGTATCGATACCAAGGGTATCGATACCTTAAGGATGGTATCGATACCATCTTTGAAACGAAAAATTACAGAATGTAATATGGGTATCGATACCTAGGCATGGTACCAATACCATAGTTAAGGGATATATCGATACCCTATAGGGGGTACCGATACTACTTTAAATAGAAAAGGAAATTTCGCCTTTCCTTTAGTTTAAGAAATAAAAGATTAGAGTATGCCATTTGGAATACTAATATCTATCAATGTATGATTATGTAGATATTGAATGTAACACTGTTCCGAAACAATCGAAGAATTATAAACGGTTGAGAGAAAGATAAGTTCTAAAATCGATTCGAATCAAGTGAGGCTAAGGTGAGTGCATACTATAGATATAGTTCAATAGAAATAAAACTTTTGATAAGTCTATTTCCTATATTTGATTTTATGATTTCCCTTTTTTATACATGCATATGTTATAGTTATAATAAGTATTTGCATAACTCTTAAATGCTTTAACATAATATATTATGAATGTATGCAATTATAAGAGAACAAATCCATGTATGTGTAATAAGAAAAGTGATCATATGTGTGTATGTGCAGTGAATGATGTTTTTATATAAGAAGTGATAAAAGAGTTATGAAAATGGGAAAGGTATACATATTTAAGCCCATGTTATATGATATGAGAGCTGCATGTATAATTGCCATGCCAAGAGTCGAGGGATTATAAGTGGTCTTTCGGGACATAGTGATCATTTGGGATAAATTTTCAGTGCCCCTAGTGGGAATTTATTCGAGCTGTGGTGACAACATTTGTGCACAACCTCAGTGTACTCAAGTACCTCTTATTCTCAATAATGTATAGGGGCATTTAAAGATAAATTGAATGTAAACTCTTATAAAAAGTTAATTTTTATATGTGTATACTATAATAGTCTGTGACTTAGCGTGTAAGTGGTTTACACGTAGGTACCAAGAAGTAGGAGGACCAGAATTAGGAGTTGTAGAGACAACATACCTCTACTGGTAGATCAGAAGTAATTTGTAAAGTATGTATTTTGTGGTATTAAATGTGTTGGCATGTAAACAAGTTGTGAATTACATATGCTCTGATCGATTTTGTATTATTTTGGTTTAACTTATGTAAATTAACGAATTTTATTGAATGAAAATTTAGATTTTCATGATTTTTATAAGAGTCAAGTTTTGAAAAGTCAAATGTGACACATCAGATTCGTATATGAGTCGGGTACGGGTTGGGGGTGTTACATCACTAGTATAACCCTCATCTTTGTCCTTCACGACAATGATATCATCATAATTTAGGTTAATCTTGTTCAGAAGTGGGGGTAAAATCATAATGTTGCTTTCCCCAAACTTGACTTGTTGATTAATCTTAGTTCCACTCCTAAGAGTCAATACATTGCATTGTTCTTTTCCATGAGATTTAGTGACTTTAGTGTCACTGGGCAATCGTCCTTGCTGAAGCTCTTGCAATTTTGCAGAAATTTAACCAACTTAACCTTCCAAAGCTCTTAGAGACGAGCTATGACTTTGAAGTAAGACGCATTGACTATGAAGCAAAGCTCCTTGATTTTTACTTGAAGTAGAGTTGTCTTGCAGCATTGTCTTCGTAGTAGATATGAAATCTTGAATCGTGGCCTAAAAAAACTAGTGTTTGCTGAAGATGAGGCTCCTTTGTTAGCATTATGCCATGGAATAATGTGTTGGTAGCCTTGAGATTCAATATAATTTTGCTGGCAAGTAGGTTGACAAGCATTAGGAGCTCCTTGATTACCACATAAAAAGTTAGGGTGTTAGCGCCACCCTAGATTATAGGTGTTGGATTAGGGATTGTTATTGCCTCGATTGAAATTACTTACAAAATTGATGAACTAATGATTGGTTGGGCATTGGCTCTCGTAATGATGGACATGGCATAACAAACATGCCGAACTAGCTGTCTTCATTTCCTTTATCTCAGTAGAGCGTTGTAAGTTTTTCAACATATTAGTGATAACTGAGAGTTGAGCGGACACAAAGTCCTTGGTAACTAACTTGAATGCTCCATGTGCTTTTCTCCCAGTTCCAAGCCTTGGGAAAGAAAATTGATAGTAATTGTTGGCAATTCTATCCAAAATAGTAAATGCCTCATTAGGTGATTTATCAAGCACTGTCCTATTTGCCGAGCCATCGAGCATCATCCTCGTGTGGCCATTGACTCTATTATAAAATATAACTACTTGAATCCAGTCTTGAAAACCATGAATAGAACATTTACGAAGCAAACTCTTGTAACGATCCTAACATTCATACATAGATTCGTCATCGCCTTGGAGAAAGGATGCTATTTCATTCCTTAGCTGAGTGTTTATGTTTGGCAGGTTATAACGCAATATAAAATTTTTACAAAGATCTACCCATGATATAATGCCCTACCAATGAATAGATTAGTCTACTAACGTCAACAATATCTTTCTTCATATACGATATTGTCCGGTTTGATATCCGAAACAGTAGATATGACACAAGAAAGAAAGATAGATATTCCCATGGTAGGAATAGGGCAGTTGCACTAAGGAAGAGAGCTAGGGATTTTATAAAGGTGATAGGACAAGGTTCCAAACCTGCCTTAGTCCCAAATAGGGCACAAGCTAGGGACATTACTATATGAATGAGACTTCATCCTTATCACAACCTAAAATTCTAAAAATGCTCCTCTAGTCCCGAGCTTGGTAAATAACGCCGTAGGAAATTCAATTCAAACTTTCTTCCGGCCTTTAAGTGATAGGGGGAAGTCACTCTTACGTTCTCTCTCTTTTTTGGGTCAGTTTCGCTCTCTCTCTTCGGTAAGTATATCTGTCGTGGTATTGCTGTCATGCCGCACCGTTCCAGTAGTGTTTGTGAATTAATAGTTTTGAAAAAAAAAGTGCAAAAAAGGTAAATAAAGACCGTAGCCAAAAGCAAGGGATTCCCCGGGCCCAAACGAAAGCGAAGGCAGCGGGGCTCATAAAAGAAAGAAACGAAAACAGGCAGGGAGGTAAGAGCGGGTAAGACTAGGTTATAGCAACAACAACAGAGGGTAGACAGCTCTTATCGGAGTAAGAGGTTTTGGGTCATCCGTCCCCTTGACCCAGACACGAACTAATCTTTCTCTCTCTCGAATGTATGCCCGGTTTTCGTCGAATCTTTTTGATTACTTTCGAAAACAAACAAACCGTCTTGACATGATGAATAGTGGTGCCCACCTGCAGAGCCTAGTCCTCCCTGCAGCCTTTGAAGTAGACTCTTTCTCGAGTGTGATCCTATCCCCAAAGCCTTTTTGCAAAAAGAGTAAGTAGGATGACTAAAAGTTTTTTATAAAAGCGGATGCTCTTTGCCCTAAATATTAAATTAGTCAAGTCTAAACGCCCTGTAATCAAACAATCGGAAAGCCTTTTGACAACCTTACTAATAGAAAGGGGAAAGATGTGCTCAATCCGTTGCTTGTTGCTCCAACTTATTAGAATCAGAGTTCACGCCGCCCGCCCTGAACAAATAGGAGGCGTGGGCCACAGGTCGCACATAAGCCGTCGGGTCACACGACAGAAGAACACCCAACATACAGATGCACACTCCCCCATGTGAAATATTCATCTTCATTGGAGCTTTTTGGTAGTAGTCGTGACCAACAGCCATAGCCATCAGCTGTCGGCTCGTTGGTAAGGCAAGAGCTTCAAGCCCGATTTCTGGTGGCATATCCCCTACACAAGCACCACCCGACGAAGGGGGGACGGGGAAAGCTACAGGCCCAAAACCTTCGACCCTTCTTTCTAAATGGGGGTGCCCGGAGCACCTCATCTTGTCATTTCGTCGTTGCTCATTCCTGTTAGGCCGAAGTGTTTGGCCTTTTCTTCTCTGCGCCCGTTCATGCTTCACTGACCTATCGCGTGGTAAAAAGAAGAAAGTACGAAAGAATAGTAAACGGAGCACACCGTAGAAAGATTCTAAATATGAGAAGTCCCCCTTGGATTCGAGAAGAAGAAAATAAAGAACAGGAATGAAACGAAATAAGGCGTTTCTTGCTCTAGTTTCGGATGAGCTTCTCCCAATTATGTCTGGTAATAGAATAGGGCGGCTTGCTATGACCAAGACTCCACTTTTTTCTCTGTCCATGGAGCGTATGAATTTCCTGGAATGTAGATAGACCAAAAGAGGGAATGAAGAGATATGAATAGGAATTATAGTACCATTGGAAAAAGGGGCACCCATGGAAACATCTCTACTGACGAACCATTTCAATAGTACGGGTGCTGCCGTGCCACGAGGCACGACCATAAAAATAATAAAAAAGAAAAAGTTATGTAGTTGGACCATCAGCTCTATCCGTTCGAGTTTCACTTCTCTAAAGAAGATAAGACGCTAAAACTGAAAGTGTTCGCAATGCATACCGAAAGGATACCAATGAAGCCGACCATTAATGACTAGTTCGAACACCAGGAGCGGTCTGATCCCTTATTTGATCAGATAGACTGCTCTTAGAAATATAAAACAAAAGCAAACTCTCATAGTTCGGAGCCCAGCTTCAACTACTTCTTCTTAAGTGGATCCTAAACAAAAAAAGGAGTCTATGACCGTCGAATTCAAAACTTTTTTCTCGAGTATACCCATTACCAAAAAATGGACGTCACTTCCCCCGAGATCTTCTTGAAAATGGGAAGATCTAGCTTCAATTTCAAAAATCTGGTATTGTGCTTCCGGGATCGTAAACCCCCCTTCTTCTAAAGCTTGTTTTCCTGCGTCTCTTACGATGGCTTGCTTGCTAACGAAACGAGCAGAGCCATTGGGAGTGCTAGGCCCGCCCCTACGATAACTATTAAGGGGTTCCCCTTTCTTTCAAGCCAAACCTGCTAAGCGGATAGATATTAAAAAAAGAATGATTGAAGCAACTGTTGGAGTTCTGTTCTTAATGCTATAGTTCTGTAGTTGCGGGGGCAGGATTTGAACCTGCATTCTTCAGATCATGAACCTGACGAGTTAACCATTACTCTACCCCGCTTCTTCCCCTTATCCTTCATCGTCTTCGTCTGAGAGCAAGGGCTGCTCAGGCTCAGGGGCACCAGGCTCGTGCTCGTGGGGAGCGGGGTTTATGCCCGAGCTTGATGATCCCTCAGGAGCCATCATGTTCATAAATTCAGGATCCAAGAAAAAAAATGATTGTTATAAGGAGACCTCCACCACACCACCCGAGCCTACTAAAAAGAAAGTGGAGACCCTTGGTGAGAAGAATGGATTTCAGTTTGACAAGAAAGATATTTTTATCCATACCAATCAATAGAAATGCAAAATAGTAGAATAAAAAAAGGATAGAAAGAAGGACAATCAAATTCAAGATTGAAACACGTCTTTGCTTAGTCATAAACCACTTTGCCTCGGTTGTATGTAAACCCCCCTTCACCCCCATCCCCTAAAGTGGTAAAGAAGGGCTGGGGTCTAATTATCTTTCTATCTGACAGGACAAACAAATAGGGAAGGGATGGTTCTTTCATTGCATTGATTCTAACTAGAAAAGGATCTCTCTATTACTTACTTTGAGAAGGGAATCGTTTGTTTTACCGACGAACTACGTGGGAGAAAGAAAGAGATCCCGACGTTAGGGGGTTGAACCCGCACCCGCCTGAAATCAAGCTTTGAGATGGAAGCGCTACAACGAAAGTGGTTCACTTTATCTACGCAATTTCTATAATTTCTTTTGGCTGGTTAAGTTAAGGCTGCTTTACCTACCTCTCCTTAACAGTCGAGCATCGCTAAAGCCCTCTCTCTACCGGTCTACTATCTTCGTTCCTAACTAAATGACGGATCGACTTGCATGTGTTAAGCATATAGCTGAAGTAGCATGATTGAGGGCTCTTAAAGCTTAGGCTACTTACTATAAGCCTATAAGCTTCAACCCCCTCTTACTTAGATAGAGTTAGATAGAGGGGAGAGTCGCGTAGAGAGTCTTTCTTATTCCCTTGCTTTATGCCGTTATGCCCCTTTGAAAGACCGCCCAATCCAATAGGATTTATGGGACCCCTTATTTATTAAACTCTAGAGAGAATAATTTTTTTCAATGGATCCCCTTCCTGCCCCTAGGACTTTTGGCTACGATTGCCGGGTTGCGGATATTCCCCTAACAGCTGATTCACTAGCGAGTCCTCTAACAGCTCTTACTGGAACAGAAAAGACTATTCTCCAGAGGGGGCCCCTCTTCCTTAGGAGTTCCTAAAGACTCACTTGAATACTGAGTCTTTAGAAACTTAGCCCCACCATAAAGCCAGCCTCCCACTAATCCGAAGAATAAGGAAGGATGCTATCTCCCTGTTACCGACCGTCATAGGACTGGGGAAGCTACTTCCAAGGAAAAAATAAAGCTACTTCTACTCTAAGGAGGCTCGCAACTTGATTAGAGAAGGGCCGCTCGGTGGTTCCCTATAGCGAGGATCAGAAAGAGATTAAATAGCCGACATTTCCTGATGTCAGAAAAGAAAAGGTGTTCTGTCGCATTCTTTTAGATATCCACGTGTGATACATTCACTTCATTTAAGCAGCTTCTCAGCTACGGTCTTTGGGAGGCCGGGAAGGAGCAGCAGGGCAGAATAGACTACTATAAGGGTTTACACTTCTCTCTTCAAAAGGAGAAAAGGGAGAATGCCGCGATAAAAGAGCTCTGTTTCCGAACAGATTTGTCCGGTGGTGGGAAGAGGTTCGTGCTTTAGCTTCTTTCTCATTAGGCTACTTTCTCTTAGTTTCCTAAACACTCAACCTATTCTTTTGTTTTGACGGGGGTTTCTGTTGTCTTTCCGGTACCCCAGTATTCAAATTGAAATTTGAAGATTTATTCTAAGCAATTACTAAGTTATATTTCAAGATGCGCTCCGTTTGTATTTTGTTTCCTAGTTCTTTTATTGAGAGTTCTCGAAGAAGGTTGCTTCGTTTCAATTTTTAAATTTATCCTTAGGCAGTTCTCTCTGCTAAGCAACGTATTTATCCGATAATTTGTGGCTCTACGAACTAATATTTCTTTAATTGCCATGCCTATTGTAGAAATTGTAGAACTTCCTTACAGGTGTTTCAGGACCGGTTGTAAATAAGTATTAGCGTTACATATTTTACCCTCCTAGGCAACCCTTGAATCGTAGATACCATCTCTAATAAGCGGGGGTGAACCTCTTCTCCGAACGGCTGTAGATGCATTGATAGAAAGACAAGCAACCGAACACCCAATAGAGGAATACAAGGGGGGGCAAGTGATGGAACACTCGACCACTGCCCCACCTCCCTGGGAAGTCTATAGAGATCTTGACCCCTCTGTGCCTTTATCGCTCTCCTCAATAATATTCCCGATCATTTGTCCCTTCTGCTGTTAGACCCTGGCGATGGCTGGAACACAAGGCCAACTCTTCCCACTTCCCCTTTCTTTGTTGAATAAACGTCAGTCTCACCGCTTGAATGCAAATTGGGCTAGGTAGTGACTGGTGCTGCTTTCGCAGACTATGCGTCTATTGTATCAGGATCTGGTTATGGATCAAGGGCTGGCCGCGCGTGTGAGTGAAAAGCTCACCCAGCCGATCACGGCGATGGGTTCCAATGTTAGTTCAACGGTTAGATGCGTCTGCCGTTGCGCAAGAGAATTCTTTCTCCGATATGTACCATCCATCCGGGAGGTACCTGTTTCTCAGGGTATCTCTTGGAAACCAACATGGTCCAGTGTACCAAATAGTGGTCAGATCCCAGGGTTAAAAGACTCATTCTCCCCGCTCGAGCGGGAATGACTCGCTTTTTTCCATATGGATGAAGAGCTATTTGTGCATCTTACAACCGTGGGCGCTCTATGGTAGTCAAGGGTTTTCCTTTGAGTCATCAGAACAAAAAAAGCGTTCATCCTGGACTCAATAAAAATGTCTATCAATTGATCCCTATTCATTCGGTCAAAGTCTCCACAACCTTTTCACGCCCCTCTACTGAGGGGTGCACCATGTTGATAGGAATCGGCAAAGACCTTCTTGTACAACACGTCCTCGAAGGCAGCATTCATGGCAATCATCACGTCTTTCTCCCGAGGTCATGGTATGGCTTTGTTCTTGGTGTTGTTTAATAGATGTCGAGTGCCGCTTTTCCCCGTCCGATAATCTCCATCTGCTCTAAAACTAAGGCTAAGGGCTTGGCATGTTCCCAAGCTAACTCTTGATAACCTTTGTTCACGCTCACGATCTTACTTGCACGGCTCCGCTTCTTTCCCTGCTAGGTGAACTAAGCACAGGAGAAGCCTACAGGAAAGGAGATCTCGCTCTTTCCTTTCACTGGTCGGGAAGTGCATCCTATCCTATAATAAGCAACTGGGTCTTTCCAGCTTGGGAATTAGAGTAAGCAGGCATCGAAGATGTTAAGATTAGGGGCGCCATTGCTGAGTGAAGGAACGTGCCAAGGTCGGGGGGAAAAGAAGAACTGAAGCCCTATTCACAGCTTTTTCGATCGCTACGTCAATTTGTGATTCAATCGATGCTAATTCGGCTATTAAGGTTAGCCTGGAGCCGGGTTTATGGCCTTTTTTGCCTAATCTCCTTCTTCTTGACCAATGCCCTGGTTCCCAATTTGATACATATTTTCTTGAGCATGTTGAGCATGTCTCATTTGCCTAAAAAGTCTCTTAATCTCAGGTTTAATTGGTTCTAATGGCTCATCAGAATGTATTCTGTTCATACACCAAGTAAACCTGAAAAAGAATAAAGTAAAATAGCAAGTAAACTATACAAAAAAAGAAAGAAGCAAAATAAAATGCTATGAAAAACTAAATAACTTCGCGTTGCCAATCTCTGACAACCGTGCCAAAAACTTGTTGTGTGTTGTGCGTATTAATAAGTTATACGCAAATGATGTGCAAGTATACACAATCACCTATCAGTAATAAAGTGATGAGTATTGTCTCCACAAGGATTGGTGAAATTTTGAGTTTGACCACAACACTACACTAATTTATCTAAGTATAGAAATGATATATACACTGATGATGCCTCTGTAATAGAAATGTGAAAGTAAATGAAATAGTGGTGAGGGAGTGTGATTGTAACACCCTCAGCTCGATACGGGTGACCTGATCCAATCCGAGGTGTCACATTAGGGCCACTAGAGTGACCCACAATAAAAATAATAGAAAATTTTAAAAGTTTTTTTAAAACATATAAAAATACAAGTTTAGAAATCTTTCAAATCGTAAAACAAAATTTGTTCATACATTCCATCATAAAAAGTTTCAGACTCAATATAAAAATCAAACGTGACCTACATGCCCCCTAATTACAGTTATATCATACTCTATAAGCAAAGCCGAAAAACTCGCATTACTGAATTCGATAGCTGCACTGGATCGATCTTTTAACCTGAAATGGTGAATAACAGAGTGAGCTTTGGGAAGCTTAGTAATACAGAACTATTAGGTGATACTGAAGGACATGCAAATAAATAACAAACATAAAAATTTCTTTATTAATTCAAGAATCTACAGGTTTTCGTGATGAG